GTTTCTGCCTCACAGTGGGGAATTTCAAAAGCTGCTTACAATGACTTGGGAAACCAGTTTTAATTTATCTCCCAGTTAATCACCATGTTTAAAACTCATTCTGTACACAGAAAAGAGTTTTAAGCACAGCCCAAAACTATGCGCACTCATTTTGAACTGGCCTTTTCCCTTTACTGAGCACAGAAATTCGCCCTTGAGCTCTTCTTCCAGACCCGTTGCTGGCCCAGGCCCCCGGAGTGAGGCTGCTGCCGCTGCCTCCCCAGCCACACTACTCAGGCGGCCCCCAAGGAGGAAGCGCGGGTCGCCCCAGCTGCTTCCCAGCTCCGCCTCCCCTTCTCCAGGCGCCAGCAAATTAACCCAGGTGCCTGCTCTCCGAGCGAGGCCACCACTGCCCAGCCGCGCTCCAACGCGCAGACTGAGCCCCTCAAAAACCCCCCCTCCAACCCAATGCCACCAGGGGGCCCCGCACCACCACGGCGGCCACACTTTGCCGGCTCCATCCTGGGGCGCCATGTCGCCCACAGATACCAAACTCAGACCTGGGAAAGGTTCCGTCACTTTCCGCAGGTGAGGCAACGGCTCACGCTGCTCACCTCGTCCTGGGAGAGGCTACCATCCCTCTCCGCATGTGAGGGTCCCTCTAGAGCCCTCCTGGGATGTCAGAATGTCTTCTGACCTCCTGCCCGTGGCCTTCATGGTGCGTCCATCAGGCGTATTTGGACACCAATTCCATGAGGTGTTTTACGTCCCTCCAGAGCGCTCACACAAGGACACAGACAATACACACCTACCGTGGTCAGTCAGGCTCTCCGAATTGGGGGGTCTCATGGTCCTGGGGATCCCAGACAAATGCCCCCAGACTTCGTGATCCCCAGGGACCACCAAGGAGCCAAGTCCGATGCAATAAACAAAAGAGTCTTTTCCATGATAGCATGGGCTCTGTCCCACTCACGCCAGCAGCATGGCAGAAGAGAGAGCGAATTTCACCCCACAGTGGAGTCAGGAGCCCATTCTCACCCCACCCTGCCCTCTCAGTAACATCCTAAAATGAGCATTTTAAGGCTGGTAAGTCAGCTCTGCTCCCTCCAAGAGTCAGTCTCCTTTTAGTTCAAGTTTTCCCATTTCCAAGGTGAGACCTTTACTTTTATGATCCAAGATAGTCATTTCTGGATTCTTTGAAGCAAGCTAGAATAAGGAAAGAAACATAGTCATGGTTATGTGCAGCTTCCTTTTCAAGAAGATTCCTAAAACTGTCACATGGAACTTCTCTTTGGATCCCATTTGTTGGAAATTGGTTACTTGGCCAGATTTAGAGGCAAGGACACACTGAGAACTATTGTCCACTGGAAGTCGTTATAAGTTCAGAGATAAGCCAGAATTTCTTCTATGAAAAAAGAAACAACAGACATTGCACATAATTTTTAATTTTATACTAGTAAAATCTGCCCTCAATCAAATTTTCATATTTTATGTCTCAAAAACTATTAAGTAAATGAAATTTTTATCAAAATTACAAGAATTTTTTTCACTAAGTTAAAAAAAATTTTTTTTATGTATACAGTTATATACTACTAGAGGCTTGATGCACAAAATTAGTGCAAGGGGCTTGATTCTCACAGCCTCAGCTTCGTCCAGAAGGTCATCCAGAAGGTCATCCAGATGGTTGTTCAGATGTTTGGCCTAGTTAGTATATTAGCTCTTTACTATAAAGGATGGTGTAAATGCCTATTGTTTATTATTATTTATTATGTAAATTTATTGCCTGTTGTTATGGAGAAAACTGTAATGGATAATTAAATTGGATGTATTTAATGATGCTATCATCATCATCTTGGGAAAGGTGCCCTTGGGCAACATGAGAATACATTGGGTTGTGCCCTACTTTTGTGAAGTTAAATAAAGATACTTCAAAAGGAAAAAAAAAAAAACTAAACTAGGCCGAAACCGGTTTGGCTCAGTGGATAGAGCCTCGGCCTGTGGACTGAAAGGTCCCAGGTTCGATTCCGGTTAATGGCATGTACCTTGGTTGCGGGCACATCCTCAGTAGGGGGTGTGCAAGAGGCAGCTGATTGATGATTCTCTCTCATTGATGTTTCTAACTATCCCTCTCTCTTCCTCTCTGTGAAAAATCAATAAAATATATTAAAAAAAACACTAAACTAAACTAAACTAAACTAAAATGGGACTCATGACAGTATCTATCCCCTAGGGGTATCTTGAGAATGAAGTAAGAGAATTCTTGAGAGCAGCTTAGTACAGGATTTAGTAGAAAATAAATGATAGCTGGCCCTAGTTGGTTTGGCTCAGTGAATAGAGCGTCAGCCTGTAGATTGAAGGTTTGCAGGTTTGATTCCAATCAAGGGCAAATGCCCAGGTTTTGGGCTCAATCCCCCAGTAGGGGGCATGCAGGAGGCTCTGATCAATGGTTCCTTCTCATCATTGATGTTCTATCTCTCTCTTCCTCTCTGAAATCAATAAAAATATACTTTTTTAAAAAAATAGATAAAAATAAATGTTAGCTGCTGTTATAGATTGAGTCTCAGCAGGGCACTGGCAGATATGTGATGGTGAATGAGACACATGGCCTAGTAGAGAAGAGAGAGAAAAACATCATCTTGGATAATATAGTGTGATCAATTCAGCTAGAGATAGACAAGCAAGAGGTAAGGGTGAAAGGTTCTAGGTTCTCTAAACATCCTAGATTTCCTTATAGATATTTTTTCTGTTTGTAGGGAGGGTGGCATGGGGTGGAGGCTCTGTCCCAGAATCTAAGTTCTTCCTCCCTATAGAAATACTATTAGGAAGTGAATCTGTCTTTGGTGGTGGTCATAGTGAGAAGTGCCCTAAGAACCCTCGGCTTTTGCTTTGTTTTTTAATCCTCACCTAAGGATATTTTTCCCATTGATTTTTAGAGAGTGGAAGTGAGAGGGAAAGACTGAGAGAAATATCAATCTGAGAGGAACACATCCATTAGTTGCCTCCTGTATGTGCCCCAACCAGGGCTCAGGTCTGGGAGGAGCCTGCAACCAAGGTACATGCCCTTGACCAGAATTGAACCCAGGATCCTTTAGTCTGCATGTCAGGTGCTCTAACCACTGAGCAAAAAGGCTAGGGGGAGGTATGCTGTTTGTATGATTCTTTTTAAAAATATATATTTTTATTGATTTCAGAGAGGAAAGAAAAGGAGAGAGAAATAGAAACATCAACGATGAGAGAGAATCATTGATCTTCTGCCTCCAGTGTGCTCCCCACTGGGGATCGAGCCCACAACCCAGGCATGTACCCTTGACTGGAATCGAACCTGGGTCGACGCTCTATCCACTGAGCCAAACCAGCCAGGGCTGTTTGTATGATTTTTTTAAATATATTTTTTTAGTTGATTTTTATTTTTATTTTTAAATATATTTTATTGATTTTCTTACAGAGAGGAAGGGAGAGAGAGAGCTAGAAACATCGATGAGAGAGAAACATCGACCAGCTGCCTCTTGCACACCCCTACCGGGGATGTGCCTGCAACCAATGTACATACCCTTGACCGGAATTGAACCTGGGACCTTTTAGTCCGCAGATTGACGCTCTACCGCTGAGCCAAACCGGTTTCGGCTGTATGATTCTTATGTTTTCCGTTTTGTTATTCCTTAGTGTATGGTAAAGTTTCCTTTGAAATGCAGGCTGATTTACCTGAGCCAAGGGGCCCCAGAGGGGGGAGTGTTGATGTTTAGAGATGGACATAACATAACAGAGAAAACAGTACCCCTCTTTTCCTGGGCATGTGTGGTAGAGGCTGTGTGAATCAGTGTAGGGGAGGCAGAGTCAGGACTCTAGCCCCCTCACAAGAGGTTCCCTGGAACTTTGGCTATTGTGTTCTTATTCCACATCCAAGGCCCAGGCTAGCCTTTGGCATACAGGGTTCCTGGTGACTCTCCTTGATTTGTGTGTGTTGTGACTTGTGAGCAGTTCGGCCTGGAGGAGGGGTGGGATCTGAATCTTACAGAACTTAGGGCAGGGAGGATGAGAGGAGCCCCCAGAACTGACTGCCTTCTAGAATCCCACATCATCCCATCTGACCCTCCAACAACCCTGTCAATCCAGCATTATTTCCTTTTACAGATGAAGAAAGAGAAGCTCAGACAGGCTAAGGGCTTTGCATGTGATATTTACCATCATGATCAAGCATCAATGAGTCCCTGCTCATTAGCAGGTTTCAACAGCAATTCTTTGTTCAAACCTGCTAATGACTATGATACTCAGAGTAAAACCTGGTCTTCACAATGTTTTGCTCCCTGCCTTTCCTCTCTGACCACCCCTGTCCTGCTCACGAGCTCCCCTCACACTGGTCTCTTTGCTATTTATTCCAGAACAGGGCAGGCATATTCCCATGTTCCTACCTTAGGACCTTCCTTCTAGCTGTTTCTCTTGCCCAGAACACTCTGTTTGTGCCTAGATGTCAGCTTCTCAACGAGGTCTACCTAGACCACATTTTAAATTCTGCAAACTGCCACGCACCCTTTTTGTAGCACTTATTTTTCAACATACTATACGATTTATCTATTTATCTATCTATCTATCTATCTATCTTCCTATCTATCTATTTATTTATTTATCTATCTATCTATCTATCTATCTATCTATTTATTTATTTATTTATTTATTATACTTGTTTGATGTCTTCCCTTCACAAGAATGTAAACTACAGAGGCAAAAGGATCATTATCTTGCCCTTTGAACAGTCCTGGCATTTAGAAGGTTCTCGAAAAATGTGTCCAGAATGAACACAGATCTAAGGATTGTAGACTGGAAGCCTCTCAACTGGTGGCAGCTTCTCTTGGTTACTGGGGAGTGGGAGAGCGATTGCAGGAATGGCCGCAGGGGGCTCCCTCGCCTCCCAGGCGCTCACTCTAGAGGAACTACGTATCCCATGAAGCTCTGGGCACAGAGAGGCCGCGCGGGTGCTGCCGGGAAAGGCATACGTGGGAGAAGTCAGGTGCGGTGCTGCCGGGATGGCCTCCCAGCGAGGTGGGTTTTTCGCCTGGGTGCAGGAGAGCGAGGGTGTGGGTCGAATCCTGGGATCCTTCCGGACTTGCTATGGCAGGTCGAACCCACCCTCGGGACTGCGGAAAGACGGATGGGCGTCAGGCAGGGGAGGGGTACCTGTGATGGGGATTGAGCCGATTACTGCAGTCCTCGAGGAAGGTCTTTAGGGAAGAGGCCGCACGAGGGTCGCCTTGAGACCGCGTGCAGTGGAAAAGATTTCTTCCTCTCCCTCCCCGTCATCTGCCCCACGTCAGCAGAGGATCCTCTTGCCCGTTTTATAGATAGGAACATTGGGGCCTGCAGAGAAGGGTCTCAGCTAACAACCTACAAACCCCTTATGTGACCCCCCCCCCCCCCCCCGACAAAACCCGCAGCTCGTATCAAGTTTCCCCGCGACAGTAGATCAGGCCTCAGGGGTGGAGTGGAAGCTGACTGTCTGTCTGTGCCCCCAGTATTCCCACTTTCCTGTGTGGTGCAGCAGTATGCCTGGGGGAAGATGGGGTCAAACAGTGAAGTGGCTCGGCTACTGGCCAGCAGTGATCCACAGGCCCGGATTTCAGAGGACAAGCCATATGCAGAGGTGAGAGCCAGGCAGCCCACTTAGACTCCTCCACTCAAAAGGACCTGAGGCAAGACACGCGGATCACCTGGGAGGGGGACACTGCAGAGAAAGAGGTCCTTAGGCTCTTAAGGTCAGTGCAGGCTGATGGTGGCACCAAAAGAAGAAAGGTCTTCTCATACCAGGTTGAGGTTTCCAGTATTTCCTTCCTCAGAGAGCTCTTATTCAGTCTTCTGAGACAATTAAATTTTTCACTTTGACTTTTACATTTTTATTTGATTAAAAATTATTTATTGCCCTGGCCAGTGTTTCTAAGTGGTTAGAGTCTTTTTATTTTTTTTTATTTTTTTATTTCTGCCTTTAAAAAAAATATATTTTATTGATTTTTCACAGAGAGGAAGAGAAAGGGATAGAGAGTTAGAAATAACAATGAGAGAAAATCATCGATCAGCTAGCTGCCTCTTGCACATCCCCTACTGCGGATGTGCCCAGAACCAAGGTACATGCCCTTGACTGGAATCGAACCTGGGATCTTTCAGTCCGCAGTCCAATGCTCTATCCACTGAGCCAAACCGGTCCGGCAGTGGTTAGAGTCTTGATCCCTGCTCTTGCACTGAAAGGTCAAAAGGTAATGGGTTCTAGTCCCTGTCAAAGGGAGGGTAGCTGGGTTGCAGGCTCAATCCTCTACGTGCAGGAGGCAACCAATCAATCTCTCTCACACCTATGTCTGTTTGTCTCCCTTCCTCCCTTCCACTCTCTATTAAAAATGAATGGGGGAAGACATATCCTTGGGTGAGGATTAACAAAAAAAAGTATTTATTGATTAGAGAGAGACATTGGTTTGTTCCACTTGTTTATGCATTAATTGGTTCTATTTTTTATTTATGTACTAGGGGTCCAGTGCACGAATTCATACACCTTCAAGAAATTGTGGGCCACAAGGCTGCAGGGGGCACAGGGACAGGTCTCGGCCCATCCTCCATGCTGCCACCCGGCCCCGCTCACTGCAGCCCCTGGTTCTGTCTTCCAGCAGTCTCGCTCCTGCTGCTGCTGCTTCCACACGCGGATGGAGCCAGCCCCACTCGCACCGCTGACAGTGTGGAGCAATTGGGGCCAGGGCTGGCAGCGGTGTGAGTGGGGCTGGTGCCTTCAGCAGGTGTGAGCGGCTGCTGCCCTGATTGCCCCTCAGGAGAAGGGGGAGGTGGAGAAGCCCTCAGGGGCAATCAGGGCATGCAGCTGCTGTTTGCACCAGCTGATGGCACCAAGTGATTGGGACTAGTGTCTGGCACCAGCAGTGGGTGCGAGTGATGGCTCTGGCACCAGCTGCAGGTGGGAGCAGGGCTGGTGCTGGAAGTGGATGTGAGTGGTGGCTCTGGCACCAGCAGCGGGTGTGAGCACCAGGCCAGACCACAGTGTGTGGGAGCAAAAAAATTTCTGTAACCACCAGAAGCTTGCCCCAATGACAGTGACCGGTGCCCTGCTTTAGTATGGCGCCCCTGCTCGCCTGCTCCACCATCCCGCTATGCCCAATGCTCGCCATGTTCTGCACATGCTCCCTGGTGGTCAGCACATGTCATAGTGACTGGTTGTTCCACTGTTTGGTCTATTAGCCATTTATTATATAGGATTTTATTTATTTATTTATTTAATTTCAGAGAGTAAAGGAGAGGGAGAGACAGAGATATCAATGATGAGAGAGAATTGTTTATCAGTTGCCTACTGTATGCCCCATACTGGGGATCGAGCCCACATCCCAGGCATATGCCTATTGGGAATGGAACTGTGAACTCTGGTTAATAGGTCGGCACTCAATCACTGAGCCATGCCAGCCAGGCATTGGTTACTTCTTGTATGTGCCTTAACTAAGGATCAAACCCACAAACCGAATTGGATTGATGCTCTAACCAATTGAACTACCCGCCAGGGCACTTTTTACACTTTTAAAAATATATATTTTATTGATTTTTTTATACAGAGAGGAAGGGAGAAGGATAGAGAGAAACATCTATCACCTGCCTTCTCCACACTCTACTTAGTATGTGTCCACAACCAAGGTACATGCCCTTGATTAGAATCAAACCTGGGACCCTTAAGTCTGCAAGCTCTATCTACTGAGCCAAACTGGTCAGGGCACTTTTTACATTTTTTAAAAAAATTTATTTATTTTTAAATATATTTTATTGATATTTTTACAGAGAGGAGGAGAGAGGGATAGAGAGCTAGAAATGTCGATGAGAGGGGAAACATCGACCAGCTGCCTCTTGCATACCTCCTATTGGGGATGTGCCCGCAACCAATGTACATGCCCTTGACCGGAATCGAACCTGGGACCCTTCAGTCCGCAGACCCACGCTCTACCACTGAGCCAAACCGGTTTCGGCACTTTTTACATTTTTAAAGCTAAAATACTATATATTTCTCCTGCCCATTTAGTAGAGAAAAAGCCAAAGCATAGGGAGGCATTAGGCTCTAAACTCGGGACTGGCATAAATGAATGCTAACACCTCATGGAGCTATTTGAGCATCAGATATTTCTAGTGACCTTGACAGTGCAGATATTATTCTCCTTGTTGGACAGATGAGGAAACCAAGACCCAGAGACAGGAAATAACTAGTCTAAGCCATCGCAGCTGGTTAGAGGCAGAACCTGGACTAGAGCTTGGGTCTCCTGACTCCTGGTATTCTGGGGTCCGCTGCCTCCTTTAGGTCCATGATTGCATGATCAATTATACCCAGTGCTGGGAGGCATGTCTTGGGATTCAGCTGCCCTATGGGGAACACAGGTTAACTCTGGGATTGGGGCAGGCAAACTGGTGGTGTATGTTTTTCCCTCTTTCCTCCCAAATTTCCTGTTTTTCCAGCTGTGGATGGGGACCCACCCCCGGGGAGATGCCAAGATTCTTGACAGTCGCATCTCTCAGAGGACCTTAGGTCAGTGGATCGCTGAGAACCAGGACAGCTTGGGCTCAAAGGTCAAGGACACCTTTAATGGCAAGCTGCCCTTCCTCTTCAAAGTGCTCTCGGTTGACACAGCCCTCTCCATCCAGGCACATCCTAACAAGGTATAGGATCAGAATGGGGTACAATCAGGGTAAAGAAAAGCCTACTTTTAAGGCCCTTTAATTAAAATATATATTGATTTCAGAGAAGGGAGAGGGGAGAGAGATAGAAACAATGATGAAAGAGAATCATTGATCAGCTGCCTCCTGCACACGCCACACTTGGGACTGAGTCTGCAACCTAGGCATGTGCCCTGACCAGGAATGGGACCATGACCTCCTGGTTCATTTGTTGTTCAACCAATGAGCACGCCAGTCTGGCCCTTCTGACGACTTTTACTGCTGCTTTTGCCTACCCATGCTAGGCTTCAGCTCCAAGCTAAATCCAGGCCGCACAACTGGCAAGGCCAGGTGTTGGTGACACATGTTGGCAGCTAAGTCTAAGTGAACAGCTGACCAGCCTATGCCAGGGGAGTTTCTCTCACTTTACCCAGCCCAGGACTATTGATATCTGACATTTTCCTATTTGGTTCTTTTAGAGAATACACCTTTTAGAACAGGGTAGGTACCCCAGCTGTTGCCTTGGCTCCACCCCCAGGGAGTCTTTCTGCAACAAGCACATGAGTAACATCATAAGCATTTGCCTACCCAAACTCCTCATTTCTAGATGAGCAAACACCAGGGAAGTGAGGGATTTATCCATAGTCACACAGCTTGTTAGTGTCAGAATGTGGCTTGGTGTTTGGGTTTCCCGATTCGAAGTCTAGGCCTCTTAAGACTGCCCCATTTCTTCTCCAGATTTGGTCCATGTCTCTGCCCTGGGTTGGCTGAACCTGAAATTTCTGTATTATGCCTGGATTGGGCTTGTTGCTAGAAGTAGAAAGCTACTGCTGTCTGGGCCTGGGAGGGATGGTATCCTGCTAGATGATGGCTGCACCTTGACCTTCCTCTTCTTCCCCTGGCCATCCCACAGGAATTGGCAGAGAAGCTGCACCTCCAGGCTCCACAGCACTACCCTGATGCCAACCATAAGCCAGAAATGGCCATTGCCCTCACCTCCTTTCAGGGCTTATGTGGCTTCCGGCCAGTTGAGGAAATTGTTACCTTTCTGACAAGTAAGGTTGAGTAACATGCCGACAGCATGCATATTGGGGCTAGAATACATGGGCAACTTAGGGCTGAGCTAGAACAGTGGTCAAGAACAGGTTGAATACCACAGGAACTGAAAGGCTGGTTAGCCTCATGAATTCTTAAAGCCACTGGGATAATCCTGTGAGATCAGGCTTAGTGTGGTTGCTGAGGGTTGGTAAGCAGTTGGTTTTCACTAAAGTTTGCTTAGCACCACCTGACTTCTTGGTTAGGGATGGGATGGATAGGCCTCCTGCAACTTCCCACTTCTGTGGGTTCCATCTTGCCATTCCTGATATGGGCCCTGGCCTGGCCTTCCTGCAGAAGTGCCCGAGTTCCAGTTCCTAGTTGGAGATAATGCAACAACCCAGCTAAAGCAGAGTCTAAGCCACGACTCCCAGGCCATGGCCTCTGCTCTGAAGAGCGGTTTCTCCCACCTGATGGAAAGCAAGAAGCAGCTGGTGGTGGAGCAGCTCAACCTGCTGGTGAAGCGGATCTCCCAGCAAGGTGGGTGTCACCATGGGCTGGGGCCAGCATCCTGTCCTAGGTCCCCAGCACAGACACTGGGCTGTGGGGACAGGGTTCTCAACCCCTTTGCTGGAACACTAAAACAGGCCTGACTTAGGTGGCCTGTTGATGGCTTAACATTTCTTTTTTAATCTTTGTGGACCAGGGCCCTAACTGGCCATCTTCTCTAGATGGCTGGAGACAGATTGGTCTGGAAGACAATTAGGATGTTTTCACCCAGAATTCTAAGATTTCCCCATTCATACAGCTGCCCCCTATGGATCGATTTGCACTTTGGAGCTAGATAACAGGAAGGGGATTTTCTCTCCTCTATATGTCTGATGTTCAGAGCTCTCAATATATCTTAAATACCTGCCCTGTGCCCAACTTTGTGCTAATTAAGGGGAATTCTGGCAATGATTGTGGTGGGTGTGGCCATCTTTGGGTTAGAGCAGTGGTCAGGAAACTGCGGCTTGCTAGCCACATGTGACTCTTTGACCCTTTGAGTGTGGCTCTTCCTCAAAATACCATGTGTGGGAGCACATGTAGTGTGATCGAAACTTCATGGCCCATGCGCAGAAGTCTGTTTTCGGCTCTCAAAATAAATTTCAATCGTTGTGCTGTTGATTAATGAGTTTGCCAACCACTGGGTTAGAGAATCAATAGTGAAAAACAAGGCAGAATGGACTCTCACCTATGAGCTTATATAGCACACATGAGGCCCCAGCTCCTTCTCCAGGTAACCCCAGAACTCTCTTGATTCTGTCTTTACACATTTCCCCTACTATTTTGAGTAACAAGCAACTGTTTTATCCAAGCCTACCAATTGTTTTTGTTTTTTGGTGTTTTTTCTGCTAGCATGTCTGTCCCTTTAGGGATTCTTGCACTCACAGCAGAGGCGATTTCTTCTATCTGGAAATCTCATAGCACCTTGTTCATATGTCAGGTATAGTCCTTGACACCTGAGTCTGTATCATGTGCAGACAGGCCATAGATGTGTCTCCTTGACCTTTCTGTGCCCAAGTGCTTAGCCCAGAGTAGGCGTTCAGCTATCTGTATGAACTCAGAACCCTCCAATGTAGACCAGCTGGTTTCTTCAGAGGGTGCTTGAGACCTTTAGGGCCCTATCCAGTTCTGACACTGACACACTCTGGTTTTACTTACAAATACCCTCCCCTCCAATACATCTAAAACAACTCAGCTGTTACCCCCACCTCTCCCTGCTCATTTCTAAAAATCTTCCCTCACCACTCTAGCCCAAGCTGAACTCACATTTTGGCCGTTGGTGCATTCTTTCTCATGCTATCTGAGGTGACCAACCTGGGACTGAGTAATTTTCTGAGATGCAGTACTTTCAGTGCTAAAAAAGGGAAAGGCTGGATTCTTGTGTTATCTCTTAATTAGATTTTGAGTTCCTAGAACAGTGGTTCTCAACTAGGGGACATTGGCAATTATCTGGAGACATTTTTTTTTAATATATTTTATTGATTTTGTACAGAGAAGGGAGAGAGATACAGAGTTAGAAACATCGATGAGTCATCGATCAGCTGCCTCTTGCACAACCCCCACCGGGGATATGCCTGTAACCAAGGTACATGCCCTTGATCGGAATTGAACCTGGGACCTTTTAGTCCCCAAGCCGACGTTCTATCCATTGAGCCAAACTGGTCTCAGCTGGAGACATTTTTGTTGTCAAGCCTGGGTTAAGCCCTAGCCAGTTTGGCTCAGTGGATAGAGCATCGGCCCGCGGACTGAAAGATTCCAGTCAAGGGCACATGCCCAGGTTTTGGGCTTGATCCCCAGTGGGAGGTGTGCAGGAGGCAGCCAATAAATGATTCTTTCATCATTGATGTTTCTTCCTCTCTGATTAAAAAACAAACAAACAGCCAAATCCGGTTTGGCTCAATGGATAGAGCATCGGCCTGTGACTGAAAGGTCCCAGGTTCGTGGCCAGGCCTGGAGCAGTGGCTGCCAGGCTGGGAGCGGCCAGGCCCGGAGCGGCCGGGCCCAGAGCAGCTGGGTCGGGTGCGGCCAGGCCCGGAGCAGCAACAGCCAAGCCCGGAGCAACCAGGTCGGGAGCGGCAGTGGCCAGACCCAGAGCAGCTGGTTGTGGAATGGCCCAGAGCAACAGAGGCCAGGCCCAGAACAGTCAGGCCCGGAACAGCTCGCTCCTCGCCTACCCCTGCCCCAAGGCTCCCTCTCAGAGATGGCTGGAAACTTTTGCAGGAACTTGAGGCTTAGATCTGGATATGTTGAGTTAGTATAGTGCTGGGGTGTTGATCTGTGAGTGCCTTGTGCGAGGCCTGGATGAGGTTGGTTGATCTATTTGGAAATGTCTTTTGTGTGAAGAGTATCTTTGGTCATGTGGAGGTATTATTGATATGAGAAAATGCTAAGTAACTGATTTACTATCTGAAAAGGGATTTACTATCGGGGAAGGGGAGGGAGGAAGAGACTGAACATAAACTGTGCACCTATGGATGAGGACAATGGGGGAGGGGAAGGGCACGGAGGGTGGGGTGGGAACCTGGTGGAGGGGGGAAGAAATGAGGAACCTTTGTAATAATATGAACAATAAAGATTGATTAAAAAAAAAAAAAAAGTCCCAGGTTCGATTCCGGTCAAGGGCATGCACCTTGGTTGCAGGCACATCCCCAGTAGGGGTGTGCAAGAGGCAGCTGATCTATGATTCTCTCTCATCGATGTTTCTAGCTCTCTATCCCTCCCTTTTCCTCTCTGTAAAAAATCAATAAATTAAAAAAAAAAGAAAGAAAGAAAAAGAAAGAGGGTGAGGGGACAGGCTGGGCCCAGCCCTTCACACCTTATTTAAAAAAAACAAAACCATAAAACCTGGTTGGTCGCTTCTTGGCCTTTTGGCTAAGATCAAGTGTAGTATCTGTTCTTATCAGTTTAATATCTGATATGTACTCTATCCAAGGACATTGTATTAAATGTATTTTTAGAGCAGGGAGATGGAATGAAAAAAGAAAAACAACAAAAAACCTGGGTTGAGGGGCTAGTGGTATCAGGGATGCTGCTAAACATCCTACAATGCAAAGGACAGCCTCCATAACAAAGAATCAGCTAGCCCAAACTGTCAAAATGCTGAGGGTGAGAAACCAACCTAGCTTTTTTTTTTTTTTTTTTTTTTTTTTTTAATGTTTTTATTGACTCTAGAGGGAGGAAGGAAACATGAGTAACATCCATCAGCTGCCTCCTGCAAGCCCCCTACTGGGGATCAAGCCCTCAACCTGTGCATGTGTCTTGACTGTGAATCGAACAGGCATGGGATGATGTTCAGCCAACTGAGCCACAGTGGCCAGGCCATACTACATACTGCCTCGTGTAGTGCTGGGCATACAGAAAAATGGCATCTGTGTATCAAGGAAGGCTGGCCTCCAAAAGGTTGAGCATGTGGCTGGTTTAGATTCTTGTGGGCAGGCACTTGACTCTCTTGAGGTGGGGCTGTAAATACCTGAGTGTACCTAAATGCTCTTGGTGCTCTGTGTTTACCTAAATGCTCTTGGGGTGCTCTGTGATTCTCAGTGGCTGCCGGAAACAATGTGGAGGACATCTGTGGGGAGCTCTTACTGCAGCTGCACCAGCAGTATCCAGGTGATATCGGATGCTTTGCCATCTACTTCCTGAACCTGCTTACCCTGAAGCCAGGGGAAGCCATGTTTCTTGAGGCCAATGTGCCCCATGCCTACCTGAAAGGAGGTGAGCCACGTTTTAGCAGTGAGCCCCCTGCCATCTCTCTTGGGCCCTGGGTCCCCTTCCAGACAAACGGCAGAGAGGGTGCTTGAGACCTTTAGGGCCCTATCCAGTTCTGACTTCCAGAGTTCCTAGTCAGCAAGGAAGAGACCAGGAAGGATGATGAGTACTAAGATGATGTCAGACACTGCTTGAATCATCATACCAACTCCTTGAGGTTATGATATTCATGTTAAACCCTGTCAATGTGTGGGAACCACAATTTGAACCTAGGCTATCTTGGATAAAGTTCGTTCTCTCTCCTGCATCACACTGCCTTCATTTTTGTCCTATCAACCCAAGGATTTTATATTAAAATACATGTTGCCATAGAAGGGTGCTCCATTTTGATTGTTGGCCCTATATCCATTATGGACAGGAATTTCTGAGAGAATTAGGAGTCTGAGGAGGGTTGTGGCTCCCCAAAGGTGAACCTGACTACCCCTAACAGCGGGTTAACTGCCACCTGTTTTTGTATCCAACATTTTAGCTTATTCTCCCAGAGAATGCATTTCACATATTTTTACCTAGCTGCTGTGGATTGGTAGTGCTCAAGTTTGAAGGACCAGCCTTGGAGAGCCAAACACCAAGGCATCCTTCATCAGCTTAGCATATGACAATTCTGTCCTCAGACTGTGTGGAGTGCATGGCGTGTTCAGATAACACAGTACGTGCTGGCCTGACATCAAAGTTCATCGATGTGCCAACTCTGTGTGAAATGCTCAGCTATACTCCCAGCCCCAGCAAGGACAGGCTCTTTCCTCCAAAATGGAGCCAGGAAGACCCCTACCTTTCTCTCTACGCACCCCCTGTACCAGACTTTGCTGTTATGAAGATGGAGGTGAGTAGGGGGCCATGGTGGGTGTTCTTTGCTTTTTTTGTGGGGCATGATAAACCCTGGCAAACCACACTGTGGGCTCTACTTGGGGCGGGGTTTCCTTTTCTTGCTAAGTTCATTTGGTGAGATATGGCCCAGGGCCTGCCCACTCCTCTGTGCCGGGGTCCAGATGTAGGCCTCCATGCTGACAAGAGCGTGAACAGTGGGAAAGAAGGCGGTCGGTGGGGTTGTCCTGTACCTGTGAGCTGTTGGAGCAGAGACTGAGCTACATCATTCTTTTGTTTCTTCCCACCCAGGTCCCTGGTTCAGTCACTGAGTATAAAGTCTCAGCATTGGACTCCGCCAGCATCCTTTTAATGGTGCAGGGTACAGTGACAGCCAGCACTCCCACAGTCCAGGCAGTAATCCCCCTGCAGCGTGGTGGGGTACTCTTCATTGGGGCCAATGAGAGTGTCTCACTGAAGCTCACTGTGCCAGAGGACCTGCTGATATTTCGTGCTTGCTGTCTGTTGTAGAGGCCATAGCCATCCTGGCTCTCCTGCCCAGTCAAGTCACCCTAAATCCTGGCCACTTTTAACTCCTCAGGCCCAGCCCAAACTCCTTCCCTGCTCTGGACTGAGTACTTCCTAGAAGAGCTAGTATAGAGCAGTGAACTCAAAAGGTAGCAACTCCTGAGCAAGCCTAGGCTGAACCATCTTCCTAGAAGGGGCCCATGTGAGGAGTAAGGGGCAACACTCCATTTGTATTCTCACCACTCCTGCCACAGATTCAATGCCGGATAGAACAGCTATTTTATCTGCAGTATTAGACAAGTTGGTGAAATCTATAGTTAGCTCAACATCAGTTACAGCAAAAGGGTAGTAACTAATTTCTAAGAACAGGGTTCTGGCCATGGGAGTGCCCATTTCTTCAGTGGCAGAGGAGTGAAAGCTTAGGCCTGTGTACCAGTTTTGTTCCTTGTCACCCTCTTGCTTTGTCAAAGCAATTAAAAGATCACTTGTGTTGAGGCACTGAATCTTTGGTATTTCAGTCTCTGAAGTGGGTAGGCTGGGCTCTAAAGCACTTTTATAGGAAGGTGTGACCAGCTTCAGCCTCAGATGCAGAGCTTACAGGCAGGCCTTAGGCCCTTCAGTGGGAAGGTTATAAAAGAGCAAGATTCTTAAGGATTTGAGCTGGCCTTTGGGCTGAGATTAGCTTGCTAAAATCAGCAGCCTAGGTTTGGCCACACCTACTCATTTACAATATTCCCTGCCTGCTCTCAAGTTACAAAATTGAGTAGATAGGTCAAACTGTATAGCCTGCAAAGTACTGACTGGCCCTTCACAGAGAAAGTTTGTTAGCCACTTCTCTGGAATACAGTCATTATAGATACAGGGTCAAGATAATACAATTCGTCTTGTGAAGAGGCAACCTAAGTACTTTTTCTAAACTGGCAGGAAGTACCTAGGAGGGCATATAACTTTCCCTGTGCCTACCATTTCAGGGGGACACACTTCTGCAGGAGGCTGCACAGATGTGTTTTGTCACTGAAGATTCTGTTAGAGCTTATCACCCCAGACTAAGCAGAAACCCAGTCTATTGGTTCCTTCCTATGGGATAAGGGTTTGGATTCTCACAAAAGGATCTTTCTGGGTTATTTCCCACACTAGAGTCCCCATGCAAGTGAATTCTAGGAAACCACTCTTTAAAAAAAGTTCTGGTCAATCTGTTCTGGGTTTTCTTGGCCCCCAAATGTCCTTGGCTTAAAAAAACCTGGTAGAAAAGGGTCTGTCAAAGGGAGCTCATTCTAAAGAGAAGTGATGTGCAAAGGCTGATTCCATCCACGGTCTCCAGTGAAGCAGGTCTGAAAACAAAGCCTACGGGGAAGAGCAGAGAGGAGCTCCTGGGAGGAATGGTCACAGTTGGGGCTAATAGGCTATTATTTTCTTTTCTATATTTTCATTTATTTCAGAGGATGGGAAAGAGAGAGATAAACATCAACTATGAGAGAATTATTGATCAGCTGCCTCCTGCATGCCCCACACAGGGGATGGAGCCTGTAACCCAGGCATGTGCCCAGATTGGGAATTGAACTACTCAACCACTGAGCAACACTGGCCAGGCTATTTGGATATTTATTTTAGAATTTAGAAGTGGCAATGACTGTGGCCTGGACTTTCCTTAAAAATCCCATTGCAACAGAGAGCTCAACTACCCTGACTGTATTTGTGATAAACTTAGAGCTGTGGAACCTTAGCCAAGAGTTCTATAGAGTACTCTAAACACCATAGAGCACCACTCCCATCAGTCAGGTAAAGCCTGAATACACCCCTGTCCTCAGGGCACTGTCACCTGCAGAATACCCAGCTCTTTCAATAAGGCTGTTTGGTACTGGGCTTCTTGGTGCCTTTTGGTGATACATTAGCTTCTAGCCCCAAACCTATCCCGCCTCACTACACACTGTCCCCTATTTCAGGTTCCCGCAACTTTCCCCACAAAGATAATGCCTCCCACTCAATGTCAACCAACTCTGGAACATCCTCTTCAGGAATAGCTGCAGCCAAATATGCTAGTGTTAATAGCAACAATGATCCTGAGGGCCTTGGTCTTGGGTTCTGCTGCCACCTTCAGCACGCACCAGCCATTACCAAATGCTTAGGTTACTGGGCCCACTGTCCTAACCACCTCCCTCACAGAAAACTGTCCCACATTTGGCTGCCACAGCCCCTTTCTTCCTTTACACTGTCCTACATCTGAGCCCCTTTGTGTACATTTTGCCACCTATGCAGAAGCCAGAAAAGCCTGGATAAATCTGTAGATGGGCAAGAGGTTCAGAATGGAGCAGTCCTCATTCCCTGCAAGCATTTTCAAAGTGCTCAGTAAGTGGGAACCTATATAGAGTTGCAGAATAGAATGACCATATACCTCTCTTATGCCAGCAGTGCCTCTGGTACCTGACCCATCTCTTGCTGTGTGCACTGTGAGATTATAGAATTAGTTAGCTACAGCCTCCTAGATACAGAATTCCTCTCAGCTGTCTGAAATTTGAGAAAAGCACCAATAGATGCCAATCAAGTTAATAGGATTACTGCCCACTCCCATTCAGTTCTCACCAAGGTTTCAGGTAAGGCAAAAAACACAAAAATACTAAAACTAAATTCTAGGGAGATGTGTAGTCTAGCAAGGTATGTTGTCTAGTAGGGTCATGTGTCTTTGCCATGTTCACATTGGGGGCTGAGAGGCTGTGTTGCATGCAGAGGTTTACTGTAAAACGTCCAATCTTGAGTATCCACTGTGAGGCCCATACTGTGGTCAGAGGAACCTGGACAGCTGGACACAACAGAATGGTCCACAATGAGTTAAGGGAGGCCCTCTGCAATGGCAGACTGTCTCCTCAGGCAGAGCCCTTGGGAGCTGGCACAGGTCCCTACTCCCCATCTGTTTGAGTCTCCATCTTTGTCAGAGCCCACACACAGCTTAACCAGTATACTTCTCACCATTGCTACTTCTCTGTTTACAGGCTGTTAAATAGAGAGACCCTCCAGCTATCTCTCCTGGTAACCAAAATCTGTAGGCTTCTGGGCCAACATTTAGCTCCAAGACTAGATGGAGAAACTAGCTAAGACCAAGGTGGAGGATTGCAACCAGGGAATGATAAACATACTCATGGAGTTGGACCACTTGGGAATGATCTGGGTCCAGGGATTCTGGAACCTGCTGTGTCATCAAGCAAGCTTTATCCTCTTTGCAACAGTCAGGCACAACCAGAAAAGAGCCAAAGCCTTATGCTCTCTTGAAGGGCAAACCCATCTTGGAGCTAGGAAGGAAAGCTTAAGGAATTTCTTGAACTGGTCACACATGAATTCTTTTTCTAAAATTCCCAGCTGCAAGCCACTTTTCTGCCTCCAAACAACACAATCTGGGCACAAAAGCTCTTTTCCATCCAAAGAGCATGACAACAAATACCAGCCAGGATGTCTTCAAGTGTTTTTCTTAACTAGCATTGTCACTCATCCTAAGAATCAAAATTCCTCTATTCCCACCCCTATTAAATGGCTTCACCAAACTCTGCTCCAACAGCAGAATTCCACATATCACCCTATCACCCAGATGGGGGCCTCCTGCCTGAGAAGCACCAGGTAAGGGGTAACTACAGGTCACTGACTTCCCTGAAGGCCAGTACCTCAAGTGATTCTGGGAATGCAGTCTGTGACCTATGAAGAGCCAAAAGGGATCTGCAGGCAAGGCAAGCAGGGCCTGTTTTAGGGACTTATGTCTACTGGAGGGTACAAGAGGAAGAGTCCCCAAGACAGCACCAGCAGCAGGAGCACGTTGAGGCCATAGGCTTGGGAGGAATGAGGTCCAAGTCCTCATCATCTGGAATCTCATCCAGGTGATACCCATCCTGGAGCAGCTGGCGGCTCACATCCTGGTTTACCTGCTAAAAGCAGGAGAGAAAACTATAAGCCAGTCTGCAAAGCTGAAATAACTGCTGCCCAAAATGCAGACTCACATTTCCTTTACAGAGCTTCCTGTCCACTCTCCACCCTCAGGTCAATCCCATACATTCTTGGACTGCAGGTGGAAATGCCAGCTTTTTCTACCTGTGCCTTAGCCAGCAGTGAGGGGCACCCAGGAGTCTGAGCCAGTACTGTCCAAACTGCACTGTCACAAACCCGCAGGGGAGTTACTCTCACTAAATAAGGAGGAATCTGATGTAAACACCAGATTCTAGAATATGTTTGAAAATCAATGCTCTGACCATTCCCAATGGGAAGCTAGAGTGGTCCCTATGAAGACTGAAAAATATGAGACAATAACACCAGAACGGTGGGGTAGAATAATAAAGGAATATAAGTTACAGTACAACAGGGTAGAGAGCGGCTTTGTCTGTACTATCATTAGACATATTGTCCTCCTATGCCTGCAAAGCTCATCCCCTGCAAAGTGGAACCTGTCAGTCTGGTTTTACCAGCTCCTCTGAGCAGAAGGGAAGTCAGACTGGGAACAGTGTAGGACTTTCTCTGGTTCTTGGCTAATTTTTCTTAGTTTTAACAATTTTAGGCACCCAAATATACAAGGAGGATGCAATTTAAAAACTGCCTCTATTCTCTTTGGCAGAAACTTGGGGTTAGTTAACGGTCTCCAGGAGTCTAAGGAAGAAATACAGTCATGTCCCCAGCACTTCACGTCCGTCAGAACTCATGCCAGGCCTCTACATCCCTTGTTTCTGTCTGGGACAATCCCTCTGGAAACACATCCAAAAGACCAGCCCAAGAGTATCTCAATCTGAGTTCCCATAGATGAACAGAGGTTGTTTGGCCTGGAAGCAAGTAAGCTTGGTGGAGGATGGCCAGGGGAGGGGCAGGAATACTAATGTCAGATAAATTATCAAAAAAAGGGAGATTAGAATTACTGTGTGACTGGGAGGGCTGGCTTAGGACCACTGAGTCCTGGTGCAGGAGACATTTCAAATTAATATGGAAGACTTAGCTCTAAGAGCTGCATGAAGAAGGAATTGTGCATATGTGCTGGAGGGAGGATGGCAACAAGGTTTCTTGGAGGTAGTGAGTACCTGATTACAAGAAGCAACTGAGCAAAGGGTGGTAAACACTTGGCTGGGATTTATCTAGAGCAGTGTTTCCCAAACTTCTCTCATAATGAGAATCACCTGGTGGAGTTGTTAAACTACAGATTCCTGAATCCCAACTAAGAAGTGCTAAACTAGAATTTTTTGGAATATATAGGTAAAATTGTATACTTAACTTAGTGTTCTGTCTTAGACAGATTCCTTTTCTCAGTGGTGGACTGAACTAGAAGATTTGTGAGGCCATTTCCAGCCCTAAGGGTCTATGGTGTTCTGAACTTTCAACAGCCCTCCTCAGTCACCTATACCTCTGCTGTGGGAGGAGTAGAGTAGAGAACCAACTGGAAGTCTGGCATAGTGCTGCGCATACAGCAGGCACTAGACAAGTACTCGGCAGTGGTGATAACACTGCCTGATGCCTGGCCCCACGCAAGAAGGCACTCTGCACTTGCCTCTGCAGAGGAATACCCGGAGGAGTATCTGGATTCCAGCTCCCCATCACTAGGAGAAGAGGAAGACAGTTAATTCAGGGGGATGCCTACGAAGCACCGCTGAAAATGACAATGTGAAGAGCATGCACAAGGGTCTGCAGTACTTATGAAGACCACACACCATAGGATTCAAGACCAGAATTTGCTTTGAGTATACAAATGGTTCCTTCAATGGCTCCAGCAGGGACAAGGACACTGTCACTAACAGTGCAAGACATAATAGGGAAAGATGGTTTCTCCAGACAAGGCTGGAGCTCCAAATCCAAGAGCAGCATGAATCCTCTGAGTCCTCTGAGCAAGCCATCTTGGGATGGAATAGTGCTCCAAAGAAGACAGCCCTGGAACATGCATGAAGGGTTTTGGAAGAGAGAGAGGACTAGTGAAGGCACCAAGCAATCTGCAGTTTTACCCAAGTCACCCCTCAAGGGGTATTTACAAGAAGAGCACTCACCTGTCAGAGTTGAGGGACACCAGGTTTTCATCTGGACTCTGACTAAGAGCAATATAGCCCTTGTTAAACTTCGCTGACCTGAGGGAAGATGGGAGAAGAGATCAGGCATAGACGAAGCACCAGCATTTACAGGGAAAGCCAGAATCCTTTCCCTTTATGGAAAAGGGCGGCTCTACTCCTGACCTGCCTTCTGCCTGTCACACAGCCACCACTGCCAGCTGTGCTACACAGGCACATCCCCACTCCACCCCCGCTGCTGCTCCCCAGAAAAGCCAGTCACCCATCAGGACAGCACTGCTCCTCCCGTCTGCTGTCCATTTTCCCTCCACCCAGCCATGATGCTCCTCCCTAACTTAAGACAGTGAGTGATTCCACAGCCCCTTGCCGTGACATCATCACATTCTTAAATAAAAAGAAAAAGATCGTCTTCCTTCCTATTTTAAAATAGTGACTCTGACAGGTTGGCGTCAGGGGAATCCCTAGCTGGACCTTAAGCGTGAGCCCAGCGCCTCCCAGCCTCCTCAGAGGCGGCGCCTGCGGACACCTTTTCCCGGAGGAGTCGGGGCGGCTCGGCGAGGCCCGCAGCATGCCCTTCCTCCGCAGAGCGGCCTTGGCCAGGTCCCGGTGCTTCTCTGGAAGTCAAAGGGTCCAGGTTAGCGCGTGTTCCCCACTCGGCCGGCCGTTCCTCCCAAACGCCAGGAGCCTGCTCTCGGCGAACAGATGATCGGGCCGGGAGGGGCTGCAGGTGCCTGCGGGGTGGCCCCAGCGGGGCTCCGGGCCCGGCGGGGGGGGGGGGGCGGCAGGCCGCCCAGCAGACCCCATCGGGTCGCACTCACGCAGCTTGGCTTGAAGGGAAGGCCCGCGCTTCACCATGTACGGCCCCTGCTTCTCCACGGCCGCCGGCGGCTCCCCCGGGCGGGGGGCTCCGCGGCCGCTCGGCCCGGAGGGCGGCCCCGCAGGCCGTGCCCCGCGCCGCCCGGCTCCTGGCGGGGAGGCTCGCGGCGCGTGCCCGCCGCGCTGTTCAGTCGCCATGGCCTCGCCCGACCCCGCCTAGCGGACAGGTCCGAGGGAGGCGCTCTCTTCCAACAAGATGGCGGCGAGTGGGCGCGGTGGTGGCCGCAGAGCTCCCGGCCCCGCCCGCCGAAGGCGGGCCCAGCCACCCGCTCTTCCGGGGCGGGGCAACCTCAGTCCCTTCTCCCGCTTCCCTGCGGTAGGGGCCTGAATCCGGGGTCTCCTGGCTGGCTCCGTTTCTAACGGAAATCAAATGTTGGTGTTTGTGGAGAGTTGGGGGCGTCTTTAGGCCCCTGCGCGCACGTGGTCTCCGCCTGTCACGGGTCACATTGCTCAGCCTGAGCCCTCCGGACCGCGGGGAGAGCCCGGTTGGAGGGAAAGGAACTGTGTGCGAAGGAGGTATTGCTGTGTTGGAAGTTATCGAATGAGATACTAGATGCCTTAATGAGCCAATTAACTAGGAGTCGTTTATTGTGCGCAGCTCAGAGGGAGGTGTCTCTTTCCAAACCTCTGAACCCCAACATGGACGAAGTCTCCCATATTATACTGTTCAAGCCTCTTTGCAGATACTACAAAGGGCTCTGTGTGAGTTATTGTTTCAGGCAGTGTAACCTTGAATACATGAGTTTGTACTTGGCATACGGATATGGGAATTATCTATTACACTGGATGGCGAGCTTGCAAGGTTTATCTTTTTCTATTATTTGAACTAAAATACAGTTATTTTACAGAATAACAGACTGTCTTACAGTGACAGTTTATAATGACAGAATTTACAGTACTAGGGACTATCTAACAATAGGAGAGAGTTTCAAACTGTTACGCCCAGACTTCGGGATCCCCAAGGACCACCAGGGAGCCGAGTGCAATAAACAAATGAGTCTTTTCCATGCTAGCATGGGCTCTGTTCCACTCACGCGGGCTGCATGGCGGAAGAGAGTGAATTTCTCCAAGCCCAGGGGTTTTACTCCGGTCAGTGGTGATGTCACTGCTTTGGCTGACCCTGATTGGTTGGGTGAGGGCTAGGGTCCAGTTACACAAAACGGAGGATAACTCCGCCCTGCCCCACAGTAGAGTCAGTAGTTTATCCTCGCTCCGCCCTGCCCTCTCACAAACAGCAGGGTTTTTTTTGTGTGTGTTTTTTTTAAAATATAAGATGGAGGTTACTATGCTTCAGTATTAGGGCTTTTCTCCATAAAAGGAAACAGTTCGGAGAGAGATTCAAGGACCTTGCAGAGGTCATAACTAGAGGCAGTGCCTGGATTGATTTAATGCCAAAAATCACTTTACTTCCAACTCCAGGTGTTGTCTGAGACCTTGGATGAGGCCAGACCCTCATTAGGCCTTAGTTTCTACATTTGAAAATGGAACCAACCTCACTAACCCTACAGCAGTGACAAGGGTAAAATAGGCTGTAGACAGAAGGGTGAAAGTGTGCACTGACTCTGTGTGATAGATAGGGCATGGAACTGCCATGGTGTTAAGGGTCAGCTCTCTGAGTGGGAGGGAGAGGGCTATCCCTTTTTGAGCTGTAAGAAAGATTTAGAGGGAGTGACAGACATCAGTGTTGAAGCAAAACAAGTGAATTTATTAAGGAAGCAAGGCAAGCAACTCTATTAAAGATTAGAGGCCTGCTGCATGAAATTTGTGCAGAGATAGGGTCCCTAGACCTGGCCAGTGATCAGGGCCAGTGATGGGAGCCTTCCTGCCCCTGGCCGCTGGCTGGGGCCTTCCACCGTTCCGCACCACTCCCTGGTGGTCAGTGCATGTCATAGCTAGTGGTCGAGCTCTGGGTCAGTTGAACTCCCAAGGGGACAATTTGCATATTAGCCTTTTATTATATAGGACAAATTTGGCCTATAGCTCAAGCAATCACTCAGCACCCGTGGGGTTCAAGTGGTTTTTACCCTTTTTAAAAAAATATATATTTTATTGATTTTGTACAGAGAGGAAAGGAGAGAGCTAGAGAGTTAGAAACATCGATGAGAGAGAGTCATCGATTAGCTGCCTCTTGCACACCCCCTACTGGGGATATGCCCGCAACCAAGGTACATGCCCTTGCCCGGAATCAAACCCGGGTCCTTCAGTCCCCAAGCCCACGCTCTATCCATTGAGCCAAATCGGTCTCGGCTTAAGGTCCCCCTTTTACTTTGTTGTGGCTTTTCCCAGAATTTATGAGAACATCTGGAAATTTTATCTTGGCAGGTCCCAAGACTGCTGACTTCTTTGTTCAGTGGGTGAGATAACCTCTCTCCCCTTTTCCTGTAATCTTTGGTTTGGGAAGAGAGGTATTAATCATTTGCTTTCTAGTATTGTTGAGGAAGGTAAGGTCTTGCTACAAGCTGGCTACAAACTGCACAAACTTGTTTGGCCTTGTTTAATTTTCTTAGTTTCTCCTTCTACTTGCCCAGAAAATTTCCTAGCTTCTTACTATTGTGCCACAATGACTCTTGACTTCTCTGGCCTCAAGGGATGTGCTTGTAGCTAGCTGGAAAGAAGTCCCAGATCCTTATAGGAACTAATGAGTCTCCTGAGGCTATTTGAAGTCAAATGCAACTTCTGAGCCCTAAGGATGATACAAATATTATAGTTGAGCTAGACTATACCTTAGATAGCATAGAAGAAAAGAATTTAGAGCTGGAGGTTTTAAAATATATTTTATTAATTTTTTTACAAAGAGGAAGAGAGAGAGAGATAGTTAGAAACATCGATGAGAGAGAACCATCTATCAGCTGCCTCCTGGGGATGTGCCTGCAACCAAGGTACATGCCCTTGACCGGAATCAAACCTGAGACCCTTTAGTCTGCAGGCCCACGCTCTATCCACTGAGCCAAATAATAGGGCTGTAGTTGATTTCTAATTTCATTCCATTGTGATGTGAGAAGATGCTTGACATAATTTCAATTTTCTTGAACTTGTATAGGCTTGTTTTGTGTCCTAACATGTGTTTTCTCTTTGTGAATGATCAATGTGCACTTGAGAAAAATGTATATTTTGCTGCATTGGGATGAAATGTTCTATAAATGTCTATTAAATCCATCCTAATCCAGTGTGTCCTTTAGAGTTTCAGTTTCCTTGTTATGTTTTTGTAAGATCTGTCCAGTGAAGTCAGAGGGGTGTTAAAGTCCCCTACTATGACTGTAATGTTGTTGATCTCTCCCTTAAAGTCCTCTAAAACTTTTTATATATATATTAGGTGCTCCAATATTGGATGCATGATGTGCTTTGGTGTGGTCCTTTTGTTTGGAGTTCTATGCGCTTCCTGGACTTGTAAGTCTAATTCTTTCACCAAGTGGGGGAAGTTTTCTGTCACTATTTCTTCCAGTATTCTTTCGGTATCTTGCTCTCTCTCTTCTTCTGGGACTCCCATAATTCTGATGTTGGTTCACTTATTTTTCCATGAAGAAGAATACAGTACACATTTATTGTTAAAATGAAAATAAAGGAAATTTATTACCTGTATATGGTACAGTAGTACGGTAGTTGTCAACACAAACCAGACAAACTGTGAATCCTACAATATCAAGAATTTACTCATTTATTCAATGATAATCATGTCATCATCTTCTGGAACATCATCATAACAATCCAATTCCTGAATTTCCTGGTGAATTTCTTGTGACTCTATTTCTTTCAGAATCAGTGGACCAAATCTCTCATGTTTAGCAATAGCACTGTCTTTAAATGAGTACTTCTTGTCAAGGTAGCCTGCTCGCAGTGCATTTGATCCTGATCTATTAGATCTTTTTTTTTTTTGGAGTTAAGTATTTTTTTTTTTATTTTTTTTTTTATTTTTTAATCAATCTTTATTGTTCATATTATTACAAAGGTTCCTCATTTCTTCGCCCCTCCATCAGGTTCACATCCCACCCTCTGCCCCCTCCCCATCCCCCATTGTCCTCATCCATAGGTGCAGTTTATGATCAGTCTCTTCTTCCCTCAATTTCCCCAATAGTAAATCCCTTTTCAGATAGTAAATCAGTTACTTAGCATTTTCTCATATCAATAATACCTCCACATGCCCAATGATACACTTCACACAAAAGACATTTCCCAATAGGTCCACTAGCCTCATACAGGCCCCACCCAAGGCACTCACAGATCAACACCCCAGTCCTAAACTAACTCAACACATCCAGATCTAAGCCTTCATCACTTGATTCAGCAGATCCTCAAGTTCCCAAGAAAGTTTCCAGCCATGTCTGAGAAGCAGCCGTGGGGCAGGGGCAGGCAAGGAGCGAGCTGTTCTGGGCCTGGCTGCTCAGGGCCTGGCCTCTGTTGCTCTGGTTCATTCCACAACCAGCTGCTCCGGGTCTGGTCACTGCCGCTCCCGACCTAGTTGCTCTGGACTTGGCTGCTGCTGCTCCAGGCCTGGCCGCTCCCAGCCTGGCAGCCGCTGCTCCGGGCCTGGCCGCACCAGCCCCGCCTGCTCCCCCGGGCCTGGCCGCTCCCAGCCTGGCAGCCGCTGCTCCGGGCCTGGCCGCACCTGACCCGGCTGCTCTGGGCCCGGCTGCCCCGGGCCTGGCCGCTCCGAGCCTGGCCTCTCCCGACCTGGATGCTCTGGGCTTGCCTACTGCTGTTCTGGGTCTGGCTGCTCCCACCCCGGCTGCTCTGGGCCCGGCCACTCCGGGTCTGGGTGTTCCTGGACTGGCCACCCTGGGCTTGGCCGCCTCCGCCTCATGCCTGGCTGCCACTGCCCCAGGTCTGGCTACTCTAGTGCTGGCTGTTGATTCTCTGGTTCTGGCTGCTGTTGTTCTGGGACCTGGCCGTTGCTGCTCCGGGTCTGGCTGCCACTGCCTTGTGCCTGGCCACTCTAGGCCTGGCCGTCGCTGTTCCAACATTCTGTCCTTTTTTTTTTTTCTTTTTTCTTTTTAAAACGCATTTATGTTGCAATGTTAGCTGGTGAGTTGAGTTCTGACTTAGTCTTTGATTTTTCAAGATCTTCTTTGTATTCTTTCTTAAGTAATTTTACTATTTTTTGCTCTCACTTGATTTCTTCACATTGAGAACTTCTTTGGTTT